TAGACGACATAATACCATAAGCAGTTGATCTCATTAGTATAAACTTATGGATCTATTTATATGTGTTTACCAAGAGATCAAGTATACTGTATATCAAAGGAAATGAGATTAAGCCTACTGAGTAAGAGTCTTTATGATGGTAACCTTACCATGTTGACTGGAGATCCCAAGATCTTGGTTCAAAGGGACAATTAAGTTATGAGGATTCCATAAAGCACTTAGGAAACTAATTTCCTAACTCATTTCTATGATACCAAAGTGCTTTCTGCAGAGTGGTTGGAGGTTCAGATAAACTTTTAATGATTTCTATATCTTGATTAAGTCAAGTGGAGTAGGGCAGAATGCTCTTAATAGGAGATCACCTATGTAAGTGTGAAGTGGGGCCGCTGCAATGAGAATTATTCATTGCTTGAATTCTCTAAACACTTACAGAACCCAGATGGGTTCAAGGACAAAATGAACCAAGTCATTAAAACCATGAATGATTTATGGGAGACATTGTGTGAGTACTGTTGTCTTGGTTTACACCAACAGCTAATGGTTCAAGAACATAGCGTTCATCAATTAACTAGTAAATCCGATTGTATTTCACTAAGGAAGGTTCAAAATCAGAAGCTACCTTACCTGAAGTAGTGATTTTCGCTCTCTACCAGTGTTTGCATAGATATTTGCATTAATTTTCATTCATGTGGGGAATTGTTGGAATTTTATATCGAAAATTTGTTGTGACCAATTTTATATGATTATTTAAGTGGAATTCTGAATTTAGTTAACGAGAAATTAAGCCAAATATAAGCCGCTTAATACTTGAAATTGTTGGAAAATTTATAGAATATTGTGGAATATTCTAGAAAAGAGTTAAATGAAAAGATGTATTTTCATATGAACAGTCATGACCTTAGGCATAATCATTTTCCAATAATTATGAATTTCAAGAGACGTGACTCTTGGTATGATTGTGTCTTTTGGCATACCTTTCCAACTACTATATATAGACCCCACGTGTTTGAATTTTATCATTCAAGAAATTCATGAAAGTCAATAGATAGTTTCATATCATTTCATTCCATACTTACACTTTAGTTTGCATAAAATACTTGTATCAAAGTCATGGTAATAGTAGAGAGGGAACTCCATTCGAGTTTGTTGGTCGAAGTCATTTGAAGTGCTCTTATGACTTGACATGGTCGTTGTATTTTGGGAGGTGATTGCCAAAAATCGTTAGCACCAATTCGAAACAAATTCATTTTAAGGACAAAGTGTCTAACACTTGCCTCGGCCGATCGCATCACTCGCATCCCACCTTAATTCTTTCTAATTTCTTTCTTCGTATTTGATTTTTGAAAATTAATAACATTCTTTTGATTTCACGTAGATTTGAAATAAAGAAAGGAAATGATTGAATCTGTCATTTCATCTTCCTAAATCTATTTCGGTAAGACGAAATTGTATTTTGATTTCGTGAACGTAAATGACATATTTTGTGAATATAATATGCACAATATCGATGTAATTTTTCAACAAATGATTCACTGCTTTTTGAATTTTCGTAAATAACGAGTATGTGCTATTTGTATAGAATAATGACATCTAACACTAGTGATGCTAGAACACAAGTTTAAGTGACAACATTTTATAGATTTAATTAAATGAGTAATGTGACTTTGTATTTAAATAAATCTATCATTTATTGTCATGTAATTGTCATCTAAACTTATGCTAACACTAGTGGTGATGAATAGCGTTATTCGTTTGTATAGTCTTGAATGCAGTGTTATGTTGACTTGGCACGACATTTGGCCTTTCAAATTTGACCATCAAAGGCACGAGATGGAATCTGTGTTGTGCCTAATCTTTTAAAATGTACACGTTACGTGAAGATGTAACAGTTTCTTTCAGATGCAAATAATTAAAAGGAACTACTTTGCTATAAAGTCACAAGTTCGGGACACTTGATGGAGGAATAATGGACTTGTGGGTCCAAGGTAGGAACTATATTAAAGAAAAATGAAGTTTAAGACCCTACGTTCCTAGTGTTTGTGGCTGGAGAGAATTGAGATCTTGAGGGCCATCATGCTCTAAAAGAGCTCTTCAAATATCGTGTGATCCAAGAAAATGTTGATTGACTATTTTAGACAATGATATTCGAGCTTTTAGATTGAGTCCAAAATAACGTGGAGTACATGGCATTAGGTTGTAAGAAAAAGTCGACTTTGAGATTGATCAATGTCACTCTTTGCAATTTTAGCTTTTCGACGCTCAAAAAAGAGGAAGATAACGCAAGTTGAAATTGCAGACATGCTGTCTTGAGTTTGTTATTTGATAATTCTAGTGGACTTTATTAAGATTGTGCTTATTTTAAGAGGCTTGTTTTAAATTTGAACTTGTCGAGATTCATTAAAGAGACTGACATTTATTTTTGTGCAATGAACATTGTCATTATACTTGCCAAGTCATTCTTCACGTGCCCCATTTACGAGAATACTAGGGGCATTTATTTTTGCTATTTTCAAGCTTTTTTAAGTTTTGTAAAATACTCTATAAACTTGTTTGGTTTGATATTGTTGAAAATGTAAACTTGCGGGGTGGTTCAGTAGTCAGGCCTTGAATTTATTCCCAATGGTCATCAGTTCGAGTTGTCTCAGAGTTACGAAGGTGAGTATTCGACTGTAAACTTCAGAGCCTCGTAGAATTAGTCGAGGTGCGCGTAAATTGGTTCGGATGCTCATGATTATGGAAAAAAAAGAAGATATTGTTGACAGTGTATTTTTTGAAAATAAAATAAAATTTATAATATAATATTCAAAAAATATTTTGATAATATGAATGTTTTAAGTGAAAACATGTGAAATCATTTACCTTCCTTGGTGGTTGGCGAACATGCATATGAAGGAATTGGGGACTATAGGCTTGGACCATTGAAATGATGAGATTCTCTGTTTCTTTATTAATTTTATTTATATTCAGCTTGTTTAGTTGGATTTTCATTTCCTTTTTGTAAACGTAATTCTTTCTATTTGCTTATGAGAAAAATGGTAAGTGCACAAACATCTCTATTAAAACATTGTCCAATAAATAGAAATTCATTCCAACTTCATTGGATAATGCAAGACAAACTAATGATAATTATTACCCTGGATGAATGAATTAAAGTATCGAATAATGCTAGTCATCAAGAGTCTATAAGATCACCGATTTGTGTGGGGCCACTGTCTTATTTTTCACTGGTCTTTTTAACTAGGCTTCTTTCTTCACTAACACTTCGGAAATCCTGGAGATTAAGCAACTATAAATTTGTCATTTAATCTCGTTAGACAATGTAGTAGCAACTTCAATATCATATAAGATCGATAATTATAAAAAATCTAGATGAATAATATCAATCTTTGCTTTCTGGATTTTGCTATATATACATCAAGTTTTACGTAATGGATTACATAATCCCACATATCACTTTATCATTGTTAATTTAAAATACAATTAACTTTTTTGTACAATCTTTTCCCTCCATACAATTTTAAGCAATTTTTTATGTATTATTTTTACGTACAAGTAGCATAATACTAACTTTAAATGCAGAAACAATGTTATTTGTAGTCGTTTACTTCATAGTCGTTATACTTGACATACGTATGACGATTAGTTATTTGATGTATTAATTTGGTAGTTTTTTATTGCTTTATCCTTATGTATCAAATTACTAACAATTATACATACATCAAGTAAAGTGACTGCAGTAGTGACCGATTGTAAATAACATTATTCGATGGATATTGAACAAGCGTGGTGGTTTCTGTAGGCTACAAACACATGTCAACAACCCTATTTGGTAGGGCCCAATCATGGAATGCATGGCTGTGACCATTGGGTCCATAACCCTAGATTTGCAGCAACGTCATGCCCCACCATTTTTAGATCTATCTGCTTCCCGACCACTCTGACCGAGTTAACGTTGGCACTTCAATTGTCACACTTGTGTTACGAGGATTAAACAATTCTCTATTGTTTGGTAAAGGTTATTTTTCCAAAAAAACAAAAAGTTAAAATTTATTTAATATAACGTACAATTTATTTTATTTTGCGTACTAACTATATAGAGAGTTCTCGACCTTTAGGAATAGAACTTTTAGGTACCAACTTTATTTATGTAGTAATAAGATTCACAACATGAACATTAATAGAAAATAAATGTAAAGATAAGTGAAAGAAAATTGTTTTCAACTTGAAAATTTCACAAATTGCAAATTTATTTCTCACATGAATATTTCATATAAGTGGTCAGTGGTGATTATGTGGATGGAATAGCAATGATAATGGGATGAGAGGCAACGATGACTAGGATTTGGATCGAGAGATATCTATTGGTATCAATTTTTTCAACTAAGAATTAATTAAATACTCCTTTTGTCCCCCAATCAAATGAGTTGATAAATTCAGATGCATCATTGGGAAAAAAATATAAAAATTTATTTTTTATTTACTTTTAAGCTACATTATTAAACAATAATAAAAGAAAAACACTCTAGCCCATAATCTCTAGTTTACTTCATTTTGTACAAATTATGGTGCTAGATTTCATGGATCGATGCAAAAAAATTGAGGCTTGGCATATTAAAATTCCGAAAGCTCGCTCAATTTGGAAGCATAAGCTCTCATTCTATAAGAAAAAGTAGCACAATGGTCCTCAACTTTTGCCTAAAGTGACAACTTCATCTTCAACTTAATTTTTAGTTGAGTCCTAGTCGACCCATCATCATTGTTTTTATACATAGAGTAAAACTTTTTGATGAAGCTCCTTATTTTCAACTAAAATAAATAAAAAATAAAAAAAAGTTCATCATCTCCACCAAACTCAACCCCTCCTATTTTCTTAATAAAAATTGATTAATTAAGCTATTATAATATGAAATCTTGTTTTTTAACATGTCTTTGTATCACCTCGTGTTGCATTATCGGTTTCAGTGCAATCTTATTCTTTTTTCCTCGAAAAAATAAGAAAGAATTGTGCTATCTACAAAACAGTGAAATACCTAATGTTTGGTTGGTGAGCTTGGGATCCAATGCTAAATAAATGGTGTGAGCAGCCCAGTTTATGCATATAAGTCTGAGTATACACACAAATCATTGTCTTGAGAAGCATAAAAGAAAAAAAAAAAAAGGAAAATAGATATATATTTGCTCTGAGCAGATTTCACGTGAAGCTTCACCCATATGTCCGCGAGCAAGAAGTTGATGAAAAAACTAAATGCACAGACTTCTTAGAGAGAGAAATTGAAAAAGGTGAAAATTTTAATGGCCACTACTTTTTAGAAACAGAAACTGGGTTCTGCTGCAACTCCATTGTTGAAGAAGATGTGTAGAAGAAGAGTTATTATTACTAATTTTGCATTCTAAGCTTGTTTTGTTTTCTGGGTGTCGGTGTTTTCTTTTCTTGTAAAACATGTTATTGTATTGGTCAAACGTAAGGTGTTGATAAGAATGACACTAGCTGGTCCTAACGATACACAGAGACACTAATCCTGTCATTTCACAATCGTACCCTCTTTTGAAAGTGCTAGCTAGATCTGGAGATGGGTATCTCAAAATGAAAGTGATTAATTAAAAGTAAAGACAGAAAAGCAAAATGTCTTTTGTATTGTATATATCCAGCCTGCCATCAACAATCTGTGAGAATTTTTTGCTCGTCAACACTTTTTAAAAAACCCTTGTTTCTTGGTTTGATTACCATTTGTCTCCCTTTTAATTATGGAAATCTTGAAATCAAGATTTGATTTTTAGAGATATATTGGTTGACTTAAGAGTTGTCATTATTAACCTCCATCGATGGCTATTCCTTTGTGGTTGAAATGCAATCCCTCTCTCTCCTCCTCCTCGTTCTTCTTCTTCTTGTCATTGTTCGTTGCATTCCCACAAGTAAAATCAGGTGATGCAGAAACACTTCTTGCATTAAAAGCTGTAATTGACCCATTGGGGTTTCTTCAATGGGGAAGAGGAACTGATTTCTGCGAGTGGGAAGGGGTTAAAGAATGCATGAATGGAAGGGTCATCAAGCTTGTGGTTGAAACAGTAAATTTGACTGGCACACTGGATGGGAAAAGTTTGAATCAGTTGGATCAGCTTAGGGTTTTAAGCTTTAAAGAAAATTCATTATCTGGGTCAATTCCACAACTCTCTGGCCTTACCAATCTGAAATCCCTTTACCTCAATGATAATAAGTTTTCCGGCGAAATCCCGGCTGGGCTTTCAGCCCTGCACCACCTGAAAGTGGTGGTTCTTTCTGGCAACAGACTATCAGGTCACATTTCTCGGTCTTTTGTTGCTTTGAGCAGATTGTATGTTCTTTATTTGCAGGATAATCAGTTGACAGGTGATGTTCCACCTTTTAATCAGACTAGTTTGAGATTCTTTAACGTGTCGAATAATTTACTCTCTGGTGAAATCCCTGCGACAAATTCATTGGTTATATTTAATGGATCCTCATTCAGTGGTAACATTGATTTATGTGGTGTACAAATTCAAAAACCGTGTAATTTTGGTCCATCTACTAGTCCATCCTATTCAATCCCACCCATCGAAAAATCGAGGAATCATAAAAGGAATAAGAAGCTCATTGTTATAATTGTTTCGTGCGTTGGTGGATTTGTGTTGTGCATTTTTGCAGTCCTACTGATTACATGTTTGAGGAAGAGAAGTAAGAAAAAGGAGACAAAGAGTAAAGTGGTTGCACGAGGAGTAGATGAAGGGATTACTAGTGCTGGTGGGGATGGTGATAATGGGGGAAAACAAGGAGGATTCTCATGGGACCAAGGGGGTGAGGGACCAGGGAGCTTGGTGTTCCTCGGACCAGGGGATCAGCAAATGAGCTATAGTATGGAAGATTTATTGAAGGCTTCGGCTGAGACATTGGGGAGGGGGAGTATGGGGAGCACATACAAAGCAGTGATGGAGTCGGGTTTCATTGTGACCGTTAAGAGGCTAAAGGATGCCAGGTATCCAAGGATGGAGGAGTTCAGGAGACACATTGAAATTCTCGGTAGACTAAGGCATCCCAACCTTGTTCCTCTGAGGGCTTATTTCCAGGCTAGTGAAGAACGCCTGCTTGTTTATGATTATTATCCCAATGGCAGTCTCTTCACTCTCATTCATGGTACGTTCTTCTTTTTCGGATTCAATCTGCATTTTTACCTTCTATGAATAACATATATGCCCACATTTATTTCTTTGTAGAGTTTTAGCATGATGTTTCGATGACCACTGTAACTTATTCATTGCAAGTATAAAGTGCTTCTCCTGATCACTCCAAAGGAAACTTCTGGTCTGATATTAAATAGTCAAATCAATATTATCTGTTATAGAGGCTTCTTTATAATATAAATTTTGTCGAAAACTGTAATTGTTAAATTTTCAGATGTAGCACCAACTAGAATCCTAAAAGAAACCTCATGATCACGAAACATATTTTGCAATATTGAATTTCTACGGCAATTCTGTGTACTGCAGTAAGTAATGTTATTACATAGCCTCGGTTTGGATACACAATTATAAATTTTTTATAAATTAGTCAAATTTAAACATTAATTTCAACTACACATTCATAGCTACTAATTATTATCCACACATTTCTTGGAACCCACTAATATTCCTCTTTATAAATTATATATAAATTTCTAAAACGGAGGCTTAGTCTTCAGTCACAACAGCTAAAATTTCCTGCAAAATGCAATGCCTCGTAAATATAGCCTTGTTTACTTTTTCTTTCTCATCCTATATGTTCCAGCTCAAGCCTTTTCAGTTCACTTGCAATAGAAATGATTCTTGGCTCAATTTTTTTTTGGTTTGTTCTATTCAATTACATAATATATTTTGGAAAGTTATAATCTTCATTGAAGGGGTGGGAAGAGTGATATAAGAATTTGATCTTGCTATTGAAGTAGCTTGGTCATTGATCTTGAACCATGCCTCAGAATCTCAGATGAATCCAATATATTATCCCTTTAAATTGCACCTTGTCATCATGCATTATATTAATTTCTGTTGAACAGAAGTGTCTCTTGAAGCTGGCATCACGAACGTTTCAATAGCATCTAATTGATGGGTGTATTTTCCATTTTCATGCTGGCATTTTGTGAAGTAATATTTTTACTTATATTGTCTTTTAACAGCGATTCTCTCATTTCCTTATAGGCCTATTTCCTTCACCTGATATACTTGGTGTAGGAGTTCTAACAAATTATAGCATTCCTAGTATATTATGAAGAAGTTTTAGTGATTTTTCTCATTCTGCCATCATATTCCATACTTTGGTGCAAATGGTTCTTTAATTCTTGGAAGAATACTATGTTTCATCTTATTCTTGTACTGTTTGCTTAGGATAGGTTTGAGATGAAATCTCAATGTTGGCACACATACGTGAAATTTTATCTTAAACCTGTTATGTTCAGGATATGCTACATCAAAACTTCTGTAGAAGATATCGAGTTACTTACAAAGTAATGTAGCTTGTCTCAATATATTACTTACTAAAAAATTCGTAGTTATTGGCCATAGTTTACTCAAATGAACTGAACAGTAAGAATTACGAAATATTACTTCAATTGGTTGTACTTGACTGAATTTGGGATGTCTTTCCTTAATGTCCTCTTTTATGATCTGTAATAATTATCAAATTGACCAACTAGGTAAAAAGAGAGAGAAAATAAACGAATATGAGTTTTCTGTTTTAAGAACAAGTTATGTAACTAATAATGTAAACCATGAAAAATAACAAAATTCAATTTTGAACTCAAGGGAGATTCCATAAGAAGCCTTAAAAGTTGATAATCCTCCTTTTTAGACTTGCTGTCCAATCAAACTATATTCACTTTTATTGGGGGTAGAAAGTGTGAAAAAAGAGCAAAAACTTAATCTTTGGATCTGAGTTGGAAATGTAGAGTCTAACTGAGTGAAATGAAGTGCAGATTATTTGCAAATTTAGTTCTTATATCAAGCTTGCCAATTATGCAAGTATTCTAAGAAATGAATGTTATATTTTCGTTCAGAGAAGCAACGTGGCACGTCTTAGGCTAATTGTTTATTTAATTCTGCCTTTATGCATGATTTGCTGTAAATATTTTGCAGGATCAAGAGCTTCAGGTGGTTCAAAGCCTCTTCATTGGACATCCTGCCTGAAAATAGCAGAGGACTTGGCAACTGGACTGCTTTATATCCATCAGAACCCTGGTCTAACTCATGGGAACTTAAAATCATCAAACGTGCTTTTGGGATCCGACTTCGAGTCCTGCCTCACTGATTACGGGCTGACACCTTTTAGAAACATAGATTCTGTTGAGGAATCCAGTGCTTCTTCCCACTTTTACCGAGCCCCTGAATGTCGTGACATGCGAAGGCCACTAACGCAACAAGCCGATATATATAGCTTTGGCATCCTTCTCCTCGAGCTCCTGACGGGAAAGACTCCATCTCAAGACCTTGTTGAAGAATACGGCTCGGACATTCCTAAATGGGTGCGATCAATACGTGGAGAGGAGACGGAGTCAGGTGATGAGCCTACATCATCTAGCAACGAGGCTTCTGAGGAAAAGCTCAGCGCACTTTTGAACATATCCATGGCTTGTATTTCAGTTACACCAGAAAACCGTCCTGTGACAGGGGAGGTTTTGAGGATGATCAGAGAGGCAAGAGCAAAAGCTCAAGTGTCTTCGAATAGTAGTGACCACTCACCCGGAAGATGGTCAGATACTGTTCAAAGCTTGCCTCGAGAAGAACATCTGAGTATTTGATTTGTTGATGATTAAGCTCGTACTTGTGTGCAATTTTTTTTGGTCCAAATTGAATTCTGCTTAGCAATGCCGAGCCTTTTCCATTGCCTCAGTCCCTTTTTTAACTTTTCTGTAGTTTTAGCTACTTGGATGTTATGGGAGTAAACTGGAGATAGAACTCCATTTCACATTCATTTTTAGGCATGATTTAGTCATTTTCTTTAAATGGGAATCTTTGAAAAGGCACAATCATTGAAATTTTAGCGTACTCGAATCTTGCAGCCTGGAAATCTCTTTTCAACTACAAAAATAGATTCGGCACAAATAAAAACTGGCAGATCTTGTTCATTTTGCATCACACTTCAATTGAATTGATAACTACTACTTAACAGCAGAAGTAGAAGTGAATTGTTTTCTTAAATTGTAGCAAGGTTCAATTGTCATAATTCCATTCAAATTGTGTATAATTTTACCAACCCGAAATCAACAACTCAATAGAAATCCCATTGAAGATTGAAGAAAGGATCTTTTAATGATCTCAACATTCTATTAATGGATTAAAATAGAATCGATAGTACACTTCTTTATCACACCCGGATTCGACCCCTTGTACTCAATGACACGTCTTTCGCAAGTCTCACACCCAATATACTATTTATTACCTTGAACTGACTTAATTGTCGAAGTGCTTGCAGTCACCTTCCCATTACCGGAGAAGGTTATGTGCAACTTACGATTTGTTCAATTACCAAAGAAAAGTTTACGAAGACGTAAGATGAGCCGAAATCTGTTGGCCATGTCACCCCATACAAAAATCGAGATCAACAAATTCTGAAGATTATTGCATTTTGTATGCAATGCTAAGTTTTTGAAGATAACCATTTGACTCATTTGACTCTTTTTCAAAATTCTCGAACTTATTCCCTTTGAAGTGCTCGTATCTTTCCAATTGCATTCTCTAACACATATCAACATAGTTCTCTTTATTGTTTTTAAATTTACCCGCTCTATTTTGTTTAATGTAAAAGGCGAATTATATTGAACTTTTAATCTAGCCACAGAAAAATCGAAATCTTCATAAACCAGTTAATTGTTGGTGCAATAATCCTAAATTTCCTGATATCTTTCTGATTTATAATTTGTTTTTGAACGAAAGCGGCCAAAAAACAAAATCACGCATCTGCTATCTCTAAACACCAAACAAAAATTCCTATTGAGGAGTAGAACGTGTCAAAAGTAAATACACATTCAAAAGAAATTACCAACAAAGCCAACAATATAAATCATTTATTAGTCTGTACCAGTTATTGAATCCGTAAAAACAAGACGAAAATCTAATAACCAAAATTGGATATAGCACCAACCTCAACAACCATGTATGGAAGAAACAATATTTTGTTATTGATCTTCAAGCGTCAAAGAAAATCAATAACCATCCAAACCCATACAACTGAAGAGAAGTATCATCCAGTCAATCGTTTAAAGACGGACCAACAAGAAGTTTACGATGATACATAGGAGGAAGTTCAATTTCTCTACTTCTAAGCTCAAAATCAGTAGAGAAAAAAATTGAATTTGCTAACACTTAGCAAACCAAAACAACGCCTTCAAAGCTTCAAAATAAATTGGATTGATAGCAAGAGCCATAAATCCAACATTTATCCTTCTCAAGAGTACATGACACCCATCTTCTTTGCAAAGTCGTCTCCATCTTCATCATCAGGGTATTCCTCTTCCGCATCTCCATTTTCACCTTCATCTAAGTCATCATAACATTCTCCATCCACTTGCACATAATCGGATGCACCAGCCCTCTGCTTATATGCATCATGTCCTTGGTCATCCAACCGATCCTCAACTATCATTCCATCTTGAGATTCTAGCTCTCTAGCATCACGTGATCTGTAATTTTCTGCTCCATCATCACCTGATGCAGATTTGGAATACTCATTAACAGGTGCTGAGGAAAGAGCACGCTGATCCTCCACAGTCAGAGTAATCTTCGTCATTTTCTGCATTCCTTCTTCCTTTTGATTGTTGTCCTTATTATTACCTGAGGCAGTTATTTCACCCCTTTTCTGCTTCAGAATCTCTTCCAGAGGCTTAGGCCCTTCAAATGGTCGTTGATAGCCATCAAGCATCGAGTGTTTTCTCTTCCCAAGGGATTGCTGCTCACTAGTCTTACCATTTTTCCTGCTTTTAAGCTCTGCAAGACTTTTTGGACCAGCAAAGGCAGTAATATTTTCACCCTTGATTTCTCTTCTTAAGTTTGCACCTCTATTATTCTTCCCGCCAACATTAAAATCATCTTCCTCCCCCTTTATTATGTCTCGAAGCCTTCCATGGTGAGAGGACTGTTGTGTCCTTCCAGAAGACGATCTACCATGATCTGTTCCGCTAATTATTTCCCTATCAACTTGCAAGTCCCTTCCATTGAGTGTAGAAGATCTCCCCGGAAGCTTTATCCTTCCTCGAAGGCGACTGCTAAGAGAACTATCACGTGGGGGCAAATATTGTGTTTCCCTAGTCGAAACGTTGTATCCTTGATCATCAACATATCTGTCACGTGTATATTCATGACTGATGACAGATCTCAAACCATTACTTCTTCTGTGCTTTGATAAATGATTCCTTAGATCTGTTTCACTAACTAGATCGGGGCCATTGACTCTAGCATGTCTCTTGTTCTGGTAAGCAGACCCTCCTGACATCCTCTCAGATGAAGCCCTGTGCTGCTCCCAAGCGTGCTGACCTTGAGTGCGCTCATACGAGTCATAACGACGAGGATCACGATGTATATCACGGTCAACATCAACCATTGAATTATAATCAGCAGAATGCCCAATGTCATAATCATTTCTGCCTTCATGATTCCCAGTCATTCCATACTGATCTTCACCAGGATAGTAATCCGAATCTCTTAGTTCATCATCCACCAGAACATCAAAACCAGGTGAGGGCTCTCTCGAAAATTCTTCTGCATCCTTACTGTTCATACTACCATGTTCATCTACCGGATGAGACTGCTGAACCCAGATAGTCCTGCTGGATTGCTTTCCATTATTAGTAGGTGAAATACTAGCTGGTCTGTAGACGGAAAACTCTTCATTCATTTCTGAAGTCGTTAGTGTCTTTTTGCCTATAGAAAATTCATTCCTCGCAGGAGTGGGTTCTACTTTCATGGCAGGTTTTGTCATGGCTGGTTTTGTATGCAAAGGTAACTCAACTGATTTTTGTACAGTTTTAGACGGGACCTTTTCTTGTGCATACTTTTCGGGTCCACCAAAAGTATTCTTGAAAGATGCAGGCCCAGCAGTAGACATTACTGGTACCTGAATGTTTTTGTTACTCACAGAATTCGGTGCATGCAAAAATTGACACCAGTCACCTTTCAAACAGTACCCTTTCTGGAAGAATATGCAGGGTACCCCTTGTTTACCAGAGGCAGTTGGAACATGTGGAGCAGGTGTAGAGGCAGCCTGCGATGGAGGTACAGCAGACAAAGCAGAAGTTTGAGCTTGTGTCTCCAACAGTCCATCCAGCGGCTGAAGAACAAAAGAAGATCAATACCCTCTTTGCTAATAATAAAAACCAAGAGTTAAGAACAGTGATATCACCAATACAATATCAAATCTATATTTGCATGATATCAGTCTATTTTATCACAGAGTTAATAGAATAATACCATCTATGCCAAAAAAAGAGAAGACTCACCGGGTGGCGGAACCCACACTTCGGATTCAGGCAATTACTATGTAACCAGTACCAACAGTCCCTTGGGTTTACCCTTGCAACGTCACTATGGCGGTACTCGCATTCGCTTCCCTGTAGCCAACAAAATAAGTGCAATGTAATCATTAAGCCAAAAAGAGCAGGCAGTAGAACTTGTTTGGCCGCAGCATGGAATACCATATGCTTGTACAAGTTGACAATAATGTATTGATCCACTAAACATCATCGAATATTTGATCACAATGGAAAGAATGCCAAAAAAATCATTTAACCAAAAAGGATACTTCTGGTTAACAAAAAATACATGTAGGATTCTTAGTAGTCAGATAAAAAGTGAAAAATTATAATCACGGTCAGTATTGCTTGTCATTTCAGCAAATTTTATGTCTTGGGAGCAAATATCTAAAGCAATGGGCTTACTCTATCAAATTCATTTTATTTATCAGTGATGGGGTGACCAAAGGCAATAAATTTCTAACCAATGCCAATCATTCCGTAAACAATAATAACTAATAATGACACCAGGGAGCCAGATTCCATGTCACCCTTAATTGGAAGGAGAACGTATAGCCAAATCAGTCGCTTTACGCATGGAAAGCAACAAACACCAGCAAGCAGAATGCTGGAACAATTAATGCGTTGCATAACCAGCAGATGTGATAAAACCACCAAAGTGATGAAAAGAACAAAAATACACACAGCATAGTATGTTTTTCTGAGCAATACACAACCTAATTTAAGATCAATCATTGTATTAATCAACTTTGAAACTAAACCATCATTTTAACTGCCTTCCCGAAATTTAGTGTCGAGAACGTATAGCCAAATCAGTCGCTTCACGCATGGAAAGCAACAAACACCAGCAAGCAGAATGCTGGAACAATTAATGCGTTGCATAACCAGCAGATGTGATAAAACCACCAAAGTGATGAAAAGAACAAAAATACACACAGCATAGTATGTTTTTCTGAGCAATCCACAACCTAATTTAAGATCAATCATTGTATTAATCAACTTTGAAACTAAACCATCATTTTAACTGCCTTCCCGAAATTTAGTGTTTTTTAGTCCCAAATATGCAATCATATCACTAACGCGAAAACTTACCTAAAACAGAAACAGTTAATCTTTATATAATGGAATTTCATTCCAAGAATTGAACCGCACATACCAGCACTTTCTTAATAGAGACACCGACACTCACAAACCCTAGCAAATATACATAAATAATATAATATATAGATGCACACAAGCGGCCCACATATATTATGAGATACATGAGTGCCTGCGGATGGATGGAGAGATCTATAATATGTCATAAATTGAAAGCCGTTCTTAAAAAACAAGCAAAAAGAATCATTAATATAAGAAAAGCATAAAAAAAAAAAGAAAAAAGAAGAAGAAATCAAGCAAAACTGTGGAGATTTTCAAGAATGAAACTAAACCTCACATAATCCAACACCTACCGCAATCCTATAATGTCATATACATAAATTTGATTAAAAAAAACTCCAAATCCCTAAGAAAATCATAGATCCTAACCAATAATTTCAATATTTCTCCTGAAAAGATCTAACACATGCAGAAATTCTATATAAATTCATTCATGCTCATATACATACTCCTATCAAAATAAATAATTCCAACAATAGATACTAGAAAATATAAAAGCAACCTTTTTGCAAGTTAAAGGAGAAGCCAGAAAGTAAACGCAATCAGTGTTTCTTTTGAGCGCTTCTTCTTCCGCTGATGCTGTCACTGTCTGTGCTGGTGGTACTGCTGCTGATTCAATCGGCGGCTTAGTGCCCACCATGGTGGCTCTCAGAAACCCTAAAAACTTGCAGATCCTTAACAAAACCACTTATAAAATGTAGGGATCTAGGGTTCTAAGTACGAATCCAATCACCGGCACATCAGATTAACTTTTTCTGAGTTTTGAGAAAGGGTTTTGTTCAGATTATTCGTAGTGGAAAAGATACAAAGCTTTAGGATAAACGAAAAGGTTTCTTTTGCTGCATTTCATTTATTTATTTGGTTTGGCTGAATGCTGGGTAAAATCCATCTTAAGTTATTTTCAAATAGTTTTAGTTTTCTTATTTTTAGGTTATAATAATTTATATTTATGAATATTTAATTAATTTTACTATATTAGAGCCTATTTGGTATTGATTCTTAAAATCATTTTTTTTTTACCGTTTAAGAGAAAAGTAAATCTCACATGTAAGTGAATAAATAAAAAATGATGACTGATCATGTTAAATAACTATCAAAAAAATTTAATTTTTAACTTAAAAAATCAGAACCAAACAGGGGCTAAATACTGAATTGAAAATTGTTGCAAAATTTTTAAAAAATAACTTAAATGAAATTTGTCAAAATAATAAAATAATAATAATTCCATTTGTTTATCACAGAACAACAAATTTGGTTTGATTCTTAGGCCCTGTTTGGTAGGGATTTTTTGCCCCAAAAAATTGATTTTTTTATCGTTATTTTACTATTCAAGCCGTAATTTTTGACTTCTTTTCTCACATGTGGACCCCACTTTT